TATTCCCTTAAAATAAGGAGGAATTATTCTCTAAAAGGATGTGATTTTCTCTCTCATGAAGTTCTATATAAAAGAGGGAATTCATTGTGAAGGGGTATCATCTCTCATTCTAATTATTCTTGTACATAATTTCTCTCTTTCAAAATTTCAAGTATTCAAGAGTGTGCCAAGATATCAAGGAAGCCATTTAGTTCAATTGTTAAACAAGTTTCTTAGTTTCTTAAACTCTTAATCTTGTTATTGCTTTCAATGTAATCCTTATTGATGTATGGAATATGTTATCAAGTATTTGTTGAGTTTTATTTAAGATACTATGGTGTAATTAAAACCTCTTATACTAAGGGTTGATGTAGCTTAAGTATTTTTTCCAATTTATGCAATTAGATTTAGTTTCTTCCCTATTCAAGTTATGATTTATTCATGAAACTTAATGCTTCTAGGGCAAAACTTAATGCTTCCAGGTAGAGGTTTCCCCTGGATTGATTTATTTCAATTATCACTATCGGAAGAAGGATCTTTGATATGAAAAGGTTAATAAAACACATGAGAAAAATAACTTGATACGGAAGCTATATGGTTTGACTCATGGGGGTTTTCATGATTTATCAAACTTTAAATTATGAATTCATAAATAACTACATAACTTAATGATTTAATTCTTATTTGATTGTGCTATTGGAAGATAGGTAATTAAATGAAATTAAAATAGCTAACAATACATCGGAAGAGCTTGTTAGTGAATTCAGAGTTGTTTCCCCTACTTGAATAATTAAATTGATTAATGAACTAATGAAAATGGATAGATTAGTGGGAAATCAAACCCCTAGTAAGTTTCAACAATTCCTTGATTTCTTTAATCAATAATTGCTTGCTTAACTTCTTATTTTTACTTGTTGAATTTAATTTCTATAAACAATTTCCTCATTTATCGTTTCAATAATAATAGGATAACATAATTTTGGTACTTGGTACTCAATCCTCGTGAGAACGATATCTTACTCATCATATATTACTTGTAGCGATTTCGTACACTTGCGAAAAACTACTGTCATTAACCCTAGAGTTCTTCCAACTCTCCAGCCATTCCACCAAAAGGCGCCTCTAATGATTTGTTTCCCCCTTTTCGATATATGATTCCGATTCATTCCTATGTCCTGCATTCCACTACCCTAGCTAGCCTGCCATCCTAGAAGCTAGCCGGGAGCTTCGCTCTACCCGCCCTCTTAGTCCACTACCCTAGCTAGCCTGCCATCCTAGAAGCTAGCCGGGAGCTTCGCTCTACCCGCCCTCTTAGGATCGCTTTGCCGGGTCGGGATGTCACAGACCCACCAGCTTCCGTGTGATTCGTCCTCGAACCCTACATCTATTGGAGGGGTCCGGCTCTGATACCAACTATCACGCCCGACTCTAATCACCAGAGGAATTGTCTGCTTTAGATCAAGCCAAATCCCCATACAAGATTAGCAAGATCCGCACTGTTTTGTCCCACAGATGAAATGGAAAACTTTCAAGGAGGTCACCCATCCTAGGATTTCTGTTAAGCGAACACACTTAACCCTGGATTTCTTCCAACTCTCCAGCCATTCCACCAAAAGGCGCCTCTAATAATTAGTTTTTCCCTTTTCGATAAATGATTTGATTCATTCCTGTTTCCCGCATGCCACTACCCTAGCTAGCCTGCCATCCTAGAAGCTAGCCAAGAGCTTTGCTCTACCCGCCCTTTTAGGATTGCTTTGCTGGGTCGGAATGTCACACTTAATAGAAGTAGGCCCAACAAACACAATCATTTTGGACCAAATAGCTTTTTTGGCATGCTCTGTGGGACTTGTTAGGGTTTTGTTAAGATATTGGAAAGCTTATGAAATTGATCGATAATTGTTATACTCAAGATCAATCAATTTCATGCATTTGACCGAAGACTCAACCTTTAGAAAGACAAATCGGCCTATTGGATGATTTGTGCTGTGATATTTAAAAGAGCATTTCAGCTAGTTATGGAAGAAACATGGGTGGCCTGAGCGGAATACAAGATGCTATGGTGGACCTATATGATACTTGCTTAGGCACTGCCGTAGTAGAATGGACAACTATGACAACTTGGTCATGATTGACCTAAAAATAACTACCATTGATCGTTATGCAAGTGGTTTATAGTCGAGATCATGGTCAACCTTTATAATGTTATTTTTGTAGTTATTTTTAATATAGTTTTTATTAGGATTTTTAGTATTTTTAATTACTTCAATTAGTTTTTATTTAGTTTTATTTATATTTTTTCGATAAAGTTTCCTTGAATCATATTTCACTTGATCTTGAGGAATTTTGTTGGATTTTTAAAGGAAACCAGCCAAAAATGCAAAAAAAGGATTATAAGTAATCATTTGCCCAAGATTTCCAGCAAGAAATACACCCAAGGCGTGCTACCAGCACCTCCGTGTTCCTTCCAAGGCAAAATCAAATGAGGGTCAGATTTGAGCACGCCCAGGGCATGCTAATTAGCACCTCCGTGCTAATTTGCAGAATTCAACTTGGGCTGAAAATTTCAGATTTAGCCATGCTGCCTGCATGAAAATCTTATAGGACGTACCTAATCAAGCTTAAATCTTATTTAGATGCTAGGAGAGCCCTAATTGGGAAGAAATACAAAGCCTAAATAGTTTCTTATCTCCAAAAGATTTCTTATTCAATAAATATTCACCTTCCTAAACGAACACGAAGATATTCCAGAAAGTCTATAGAAAGAGAGAGACTAGCCGTAATTTGGGAGATCCATTCATTGTATATTCCATCTCTTGTTCTATTGTTTTCTACATAGTTTTCTCTTTCTTTATTTCAAGTGCTCAAGTTTGTGGACAAAATCAAGGAAGTCGTTCATGCTATTTGTTGACTAGTTTTTATCTTTAAACTCTTAATCTTGTTTTTACTTTTCAGAATTCATATTAATATAGGAATTACTTGTAAGTTTAATAGAGTTTTATTTAATTACTATGTCGAACTAAACTCTCAAACTAGGGATTTGGTGTACTTAATTTCTATTTCAATTTATAATATTAGATTTGCTTTTCTTTGTTTAAAGTATAATTTATATTGAACTTAATGCTTCCAGACAGAGTTTCTCCCATGGATTGATTTATTTCATTAATCACTATCGGAAGAATGACTTTTGACATGAAAAAGGTAATAAATTACATAGGAATAATAACTTGATGTGGAAGCTATATACGATAGGAAATAATAACTTATGTGGAAGCTATGATGGTTCTTGGACTTATGGTGTTTTCTAGGTTTTAAATCCTTGATTTCTTTCATCAAATATTCTTGTTTGATTTCTTATTTCATTATTTTATTTCTACTTTTAAATCTATTTCTTCTTTTTGTTGTTTAAATAATAATAGGTTAACACCAATTTTGAACTTGGTAATACAATTTTCCTTTGGACGATGCTATTACTCACCCATTTATTACTGTTTGCGATTTGGTTATACTTGCTAAAAAGGCATATCAAACCTCAGACCAACGTGGAGAATGACCAAATGAAATCAAACACTAATTACTTGGAAATACCAAACGTAACACAATTTTGATACTTGGTATACAATTTTCTTTGGACGATGCTATACTCACCATTTATTACTTGTTTGCGATTTGGTATACTTGCTAAAAAGCATATCAAACCTCAGGACCAAGTGAATGACCAAATGAAATCAAACACTAATTACTTGGAAATACAACGGTCGCAGCTTAAGGCTTATGAAGAATTGACTCTTCAGAAATCCGACTATTCATAGACAGTTGATCTTATAGACGGTTCTTGCTTACTATAAGGAGAAAAGAACTATCATAGACTGACCAATTAAAACTAATATGAATGGTCATATAAGCCATGACAATAGTTTCTTTTAAAAACCAACGGCCATGCGTCTGAATGGTAATTACAACTCATTTAGGCAAAATCATTTCCATGGTAGTCCTATCCTATGCCTAGATGTGAACGGTCGAAGAAGCTGAATTATTAATAAAATAAACCGATCCCAAACCACATTTGAGGGGTGGGGGCAGGCAACATAATGCTCTATTTATATTCCAGCTCGGAGCTTAGTCTCAGTTAAAGCTCTTTACCCATTCCTGCAAGTGTATTTAGTAGGGATCGAACTTGAGAGCTCCAAATCGGGAGCTTTTCTCACATATACAGCCTACAGTACCAACTGAGCCATAACCCGTATATATGAAAAAATGTGGTTTAAATTAAAGAATTGTGATGACTGGCACATGTGAAAGAAACAATCTAAAAGAAAATCAATCTACATTTTCGCAATGGTTAAGGAGATACTGGTTCAATAATAAATGAACAAGCATGTAAAAGAAGCAGTATTTTGTCATTAACAATTGTTAATTACAGAAAGAGGCAAGTCCCAGTGTACAACTAAGAAAAAATGGAAGAAAAACAAAACTGCAAAGTTGGACTGGCCATTGCTTTCTCTTCTAGCAAGATATGGTCCTTATCCCTTTCGACTATAAACTTGTCAATTCTTCCTCTCCAGCTAAACAATTCCTCCTTATTTCGTTATTTTCGTGTCCAAAGCGTCCGCCTAGGTTTATAAGGAGAAAATCTCATCTTGAAGGGCCTTTATCCTAGATTGGAGGGACTTAGAGTTCTTTACCAATCTGTCAAAAGACCATTAACGAAAAGAAGAACGCCAATCATAGATCTCCTTTGCCTTTTGACCAACCCGAAATCTCAACTTCCAGCAGGTTGGCCCGAGGCATATGTAATTGGGTGGCTAGGGTATGAATATGATGAAGTTGGTCTCTAGTTCGTCTTGAAGCTTAGTTCCCCTTTGTGTGTGTGTGTGTGTGTGTGTGTGTGTGTGTGTGTGTGTGTGTGTATTGAAATTACAAAAACTTTCAAGAAAAAAAAAATTCCAATTAAAATCTTTATATTCCACAAACCAAAAAACAAAAACGAAAGATAAGAAGCAAGCTTTACCACTTGGCTACATTATCATCATAACAATTATTATTTGGCTACATTCACAAACCCAGTCCGCCGTAATCACGCCAATCTTTCAATTGGTCCCAATCCCAAAGAGGTTCATTATGTATGACCGCCATTGGTATGTTATTATTACTTTGTTGCCCAGTTTCTTGAGAGGGATAGCCATGGCCACCTAAAGATGAACTCTCAGCCGAGCTTCTTTTTCTTTTTGGATGAGTACTTGGTCTTGCCACTTCATCACCATGAACCATTAATTGCCTTGTTTCCATTCCAACCGGCCTTCTATCGAACGACCGTAGGCATTTTGCTTTCTTGTACACTCGACACAAACTGAATTCATGTCTTAGCTGCAAAAACAAATTATTCAACCATTGATTTTTAGCCTTTTTAAATAAACTAATTTCTTAATCCTTAACGTTACACCCAACCAAGCTCGAGATTAGTTTTTCAAATCCGAGTGGAGCTCGAGCTGAGCTCTAACTTTAGTACACATTTAATGAACCGAACTCAAGTCATATTTATAGTTTATGAACCTTTTATGCACTTCCAACAAAAAAAGCTAACTAATGAAATAATGGATTCGCTCCTGATAATGGATTCGATCCTAACTTGAAGGCTAACTAATAAAAAAAAGGTTTCATAATAACAAGGTTAATAATTAAACATACACTTAGAGATGCACCAGTTGATGAAGATGAAGCTTCTCTATCAATTGCTTTATATTCATTCATTTTCCACTCGGTTTTTCTACCTCTTGGAGCCCTTCCCTTGTAGAAAACCATAGTTCTTTTAACACCAACGCATCGATTGTTGGAAGAGTAAACATAACCAGGACAACCAGTAGCTTTCCAATATCCATCAGTTGTGAGTCTGTTTGGCCTTCCTCCACGTGCCTCGCTTTCTTGTCTTGGGATAAAGAAAAACCATTGTTCTGGATCTCTACGTGAGTAGACTCCTGAGAATTCTGCACCAAAACAAATTGTAATATGATCAAAACGCATAACAAAAGCTATATTTAGTTAATTATAGCATTAGGTATATATTTATAAGAAAATTATAATATACTTATTCTTGTATTTATATAATACTGTAAAAAACTCATAAAAGATTGCTATAATCTAAATGTTAATCAGTTTTTTCACTCAATGCATGACATTGAAATCAAATAGATTTATCTATGGTAGAAATATTTAGATTGTATTATTGATTAATAACAAAGAATCTCTCTTCTGATAATAAATCAAAATTAAAAGAAAATAGAAATAATAAAACTTGGAAGTTTAACCTAATTAATTGAGCTTAATTAAAGCATGCATCGAAAAAGAAGATAACAAGAATAAAATACGTGGAAGTTGCCATGGACTGAATTCGTATATATAAAGAACGGGTATAACACGATCCATAACCCGAATCAAGTCTTCTTGCTTGGCTTCTAGCCTATGATGCAAATAAAAAGAGAGAAGCTCTTCTTCTGTAGGGTAAAAACGAATCCCAGGTGCAAAATTCTCCATACATAACCTAATAGTTATTTCTAGCTTTACTATCTTCTTATTATATGCTTACACTTCTAATTAAATGGGAGAAATAACTTAGTTGTTTCTTTATATTTATAGGAAAAGAGAAAGAGAAAGATCACTGGAAGACACAAAGAAACGATTGAAACCAGAAGAAAGAAACAATGATGTGTTACTTGGCAACTTCCACACGCTGTCTTAGAAAAAATGTTTCTTCTATTTGTCATGATATTGTACTTATGGAATCCCTTGTTTAAAAAAAATTTATTTATTTAATACACAAGCTATAATAATATCTATCTACTCACAAGGCAGAGAGTTAGCAGTAGATATTTCTTGAGATAAGAAATATGATAAACATACTGTAAGCTGAACGTTATATAAACGTTATATAAGAACCAAATTTTAAAAATTCTAAAATTTTAGAAATAAATGCTATTATTGTAAATGAATTTACTTATTTCAATATAATTTCAACATTTAGTAATGGATAAATTTGTTCTTACATTAATTTTAATTTCTTCTCGTCAAACTCATTCTAATATGCCTTATATATTTTTAGAAATACAAGATCCATTCCATACTTTAGTCAAAATCAAAATTCACCACAGAAATTATCTAGTTTTCCTCCACTTGGTTTCAAATAATTCAAGCTAAGCTCGGGTCTAAGCTCACTCATATAATTCGGACCGACTTCGGTCTTACCAATTCTTCTCGATTCTTTTGAAAAACCTCATGACTTCAAATCTTCAATTTGTTTTTTCTAATTTCCATTTTTATTTTATTATTATCATTGTATAAAAATCTGTTTGCATGTATAGTTTAGAGATATAAAACCTCGAGTCATTAGCTATATATTGAGTTTCAATTTTCAAAAAGTCAAATTCAAATTTGACTCATTTATAATTTATAGCAAAGAAAAAAAAAATTATGGTTTGTTTATATGTTCAGGCTCGAACTTGAGTTTATGAAAGGCTTATTTACTAGTTTTGAGCTAGTTTGTGAACATATTTCGTAACTTGAGTTCAACTTGTTTATTAAATAAACTCAATAAACAAATTTGAATTTGATTAGTTATAAACAAAGTCCCAAGCAATTTATAAACAATTTCATTTACGTACAATGCCTTAATGTTGGAGCAAAATAATAAAAATAATTTATTGTTAAAATGAGGGTATTTCTAACCATTCATTTGGAAAAAATGATAAGGTGAAAATAAATTTTAAAATAAATGCTTATTTTAATTGGTTTAATTCATAGGTAAACTAATGAACCGAATCTAAACAAGTCTAATCCTATATAATTAATTTAAGTTTATGTAAACTTAAATTGATTAAACCTCTCTCTCTTGATGTTTCCTTTCAATTTTATTTTTAGGAGAACTCGAACTCGAGACCTTTCACTCATTACATAAATAAGAAGATCAACCAGACCATGCAAAAGAACTCGATGTCTTCATTGCCATTCTTATCATAATATCTCTTTTAATTCTTTTTTTTTCTCCAAAAGATGTATAGTAGATAATTCTATGATTAAAAATTAGAGGTAGCAGAGAAAAAGCACACTAGACCGATAATGCAACGACCGATAAGAACTAGATTAAGAAATGACAGTTGGTTTTGCAAGTGTACGAAATCGCCACAAGTAATATATGATGAGTACAATATTGTTCCCACGGGAATTGTATACCAAGTACCAAAATTATATTAACCTATTATTATTTAAATGATAAAGGAAGAAATTGTTTCAAGAATTTAAATTCAACAAGTAAAAATAAGAAGAAGTCAAGCAAGCAAAATTTGATTAAAGAAAGCAAGGATTAAAAACTACTAGTAACCAAGTACCAAAATTATTATTAACCCTTATTATTATTTAAATATGATATAAGGAAGAAATTGTTTCCAAGAAGAAATTGTTTCAAGAATTTAAATTCAACAAGTAAAAATAAGAAGAAGTCAAGCAAGCAAAATTTGATTAAAGAAAGCAAGGATTAAAAACTACTAGGAATTTTGAATTCACTTATTTCTATCCAATTTATTTTATTAGTTTATTAATCAATTTTAATTATTCAAGTAGGAAAAACAACTCTAAAATCACTAACAAGCTCTTCCGAAGTATTGTTAGTTAGTTTAATTCCTTTTAACTACATATCTTCCGATAGCACAATCAAACATGAATTAAATCATTAAGTTTTGTAGTTTATTTATGAATTCATAAATTAAAGTTTTTAATTTATGAAACCCTCATGAGTCAAACTATATAACTTCCGCATCAAGTTATTATTCTCATGTGATTTATTAACTTTTTCATATCAAAAATCCTACTTCCGATAGTGATTAATGAAATAAATCAATCCAGGAGAGAAACTGTGCCTGGAAGCATTAAGTTTATCAATAAATCATAACTTTAACAAATAAAAATAAATCTAATATTATAAATTGGAAAATAAATTAAGCTACATCAAAATTCCTAGTATGAGAGTTTAGTTAGACATAGTACTTAAATAAAACTCAATAATACTTCATAAATATTCCATAATCAATAGGAATAATGAAAGAGATAAGCAAGATTAAGAGTTTAGAAATAAGAATTAGTTAATAATTGGCTCCGGATGACTTCCTTGAATCTTTGCCCAACTCTTGAAAGACTTGAACTCTTGAAGAAGTGAAACTATATACAAGACTAAGAGAATGAGATGAGATAGAATGGTATGAGATGGGATGGAATGGGATGATATGGGGATGGTCTATACAATGAACTCTTCTTCCCTTTATATAGACTTCTTGGGAGGGAAATCCACATAGTTTAGGGAATAAAGTCCACCTTTGTTAGGAAATAAAGCTTTATATTAACTTCTTGGGACGGGGAAATCCACATAGTTTAGGGAATTAAAGTCCACCTTTGTTAGGGAAATAAAGTTCTTCAATTGTCAAGCCTTAAAATATTAATTCCAATCATTTGGGGAAGGGACTTTTCCATTTGCATAGATTAAAGCTTGATTTGCATATGAAGAAAGTATCCAAAGGTGAAGCTCATGGAAATGGTGGGAATCATATATAGGCAACTTTTTGACTCAAATTCTCATATATATATATATATATAGCCAGATGCGTGCTAGTGAACACGGTCTGGCGCACGTGCTTTACGATTCCTTGCTTTGTGGATAGGAGTCATGCATGCCGCCGTTGCTCTAAGGGTTGCGCTCTGAGTGGGATAAAGATCTATGTGGCACGCCGTGTGTTGGCTCAAGGGTCAAATTCCTTTTAATTCGTCCCGGAATTTGATGATTAAAATATACACCAACTCTTACGAATATAATACTATAATAGTGCTGCTTAATAATATATTTTTATGCCCATGACAATTCTTCATTGGGAAAGAACAATGAAACAAGGCAAGTCCTACCAAAAATTTCCAAATCTCATAGCTGACACGTTGTGCAGCTGACCCAGCCCGCGAAACAACATAACGTGTGAAGACAAAGTAACAAACGAACAAGGCAAGTCCTACAAAATCCATAGTGTATGAAGACATCCGAAGACCCTAGTGGTTAGGTCCTTAGGATTTATTGTAGGATAGAGAGAAAATTCATCTATGATAGAAAAACTAATCTTTCTCTCATCAAAAATTTTTTCGAAAATTAGATTCTTCAAAAATAAATCATTTCGTCAAAAAGTTGTTTTCGAAATTCCTTGAAAAGAAATCGAAATGATTCAATTACCTAAAATTAAAGAGATTTTGTCTCTAATGATTTTGGTAATAAATCGTATGCTTTCTTTTTTGGAAATTCTCATTGAAGATCTAAGAATTTTAATTTATTCTCTTACCTAAAAGAAAGTTCTTACTTTTCGTTTTAGTAAGTAGAATCTTTTCAAAAAATATTTCTCAAATAAATTGCTTTTGAAAATCTTTATGTTTAAGGAAAGAAAGATCATCCCCTATTTTCTTACCAAAAGGAATAAAACAAATTTTGGTAACTAAGATTTTCGTATCTTCTAATAAGGAAAGCAAATATTCCGATTTGAAAAAGCAATATCCACTTTCGAAAAACGAGAGTCACAGACCTCTCTATAAAAAGACGTTTTCATTTTGAAATGAGTGGAAGAAAGAGTTTTTGTTTTAAGAGTATTCACCTATCGATCACATCCTTTATCTCTCAAAACTTACTCTCTACCCTCGTTTTTCTTTTCATCTTTATACTTTATACCCCCATTTTTCTTTTCATCTTTACACTTTACTTTTCTAGCTTTAAGTAGAAAAGAATTTTTATAACTACTTTTGAAAAACGGTTCTGTGTTCTAAACGATTTTCTAATTTGAAAAACTATTTTTCCTGTGGTTATATTTGCATTTCTGTCTGTCTATTTAGATTCTATAATCTTTAGTAGACAGGTCTTTATTTGATAAACAATTGTGTAATATCTTAGGTTAGAAGCTAGTGTGAAAGAGGTTATCAAGCAATCCGTGAGAGAGATTCTAATGTCTTGAATTGAGTTTTTATACTCTCTCAAAAACAGAAAGGGTTGAGGTTAACTAGAACCTTTGGAAAATTCTATTGTGGGTTAAAGGGTAGATCTAGGTGTTGATCTGTTCTCTGTTACTATTGGTTTGTTCTCTTACCCTTGAAAAGAGATAGGCATAGTTGAGAGGATCTCAAGGATGAGTTCTTGGGGGATGGATGTAGGCGATGACTGCTTAGTACCGAACCCACGTATAAATCACCTCGTTATGATCTTTTTATTTTTCTGAAGCTTTTGCTATACTACTTTACTTTACACTTACTGTTTATTATTTTAGAAATGCTAAAATTGTTAATGGGATTTATAATTATTCTAAAACTTGAAGATGAGTCTTATCTTCCTTATCTTCTCTGAACATTAGAACTCTGGAATTCTGATCAGTGAATATACCAAGTTCTAAACGGTTTTTCTATTTTCAGTATATTTCACTACTTGGATTTTTAATCAGTTTTCTAAACTTGGTTAAAGCTTTGTGAAACAGTTCTGATTTCGATAACTGTCTCTCACACAG